CCCCGCCCCTTAATCGGCGCCTGGCTGTGAGAAATGCCTTCTCGTGTCCACAGTCTGCACTCGAACTGTGGAGTGTCCAACAGATGTGTGACTTAAGTTGCACAGTTGCTGGACACTCCCGATTCACAGTGTAATGCTGTTCGTTTGAAATGTTTTGTGCGCAGTGAACCAATAGTTATTTCAGTCTCAGACGAAGCGTCTCCAGTTAGGCAACGCGCACCTGTACCAGGTGGCTCATTCACGCAGAGCACTTTCGTAGTTATACTGTAACGCATGCAAGCGTGGACAGCGAGGATGGGCAAACCCGCCCTCACTTGTACAGTAATGCGGTGCAGTATGATCATTGATCAACCATACCTGGCATGTACCGGGTGTTTCGGCGCGGTGTAGGTTTGCCTACTACCTCTGCCCATCAAACGGCACGGTCTTTTTGGCCCCAAAAATTTTGGGTAGGCAGATCCGAAAGGTTTGCCTTCTCCCTCTGCAAAAGTGAATGTAGGCCTGTTATTTGTAGCTTTTCTTTAGTGCATAGCGGCCCTCAGCCAAGTGTCGACACCTCTCGCACCTCTACGTCAATGATCTACGTTGAAGTTGCTGAGGTTTGCATCAGCCCCCACCCCCATTTTCTCCACCCGCACTCGGTTACTGCCCCCTGGGCCCCCTGCATGTCAGCGATTCGCGAGCGATTCTGCAGCGGTGGACACCTTCTGTGTACTCCTCCGCGAATTCCTTTTCTGTCGCGCATGCAGTTTCTCATGGGCAAGGGCACCTTGTTCTTGTTGGTGCAACGCGTTCTCCTCCAGCAGATGGCGCAGCAGGGGCGGACCTTCACGCTGCCCTCGTCGCAGCCCTTGCCGCCGCCGCCGCCCACCCCTTCGCTGCACCGCCCGCTGTCCCCCGGGGAGGGCGAGGAGATCCCGCTCGGGCAGCACGTCGAGCGGCCGGGCCCGGACCCCGCCACCGGCGCCGTGAAGAGGAGGCTGTCCCTGTCCGGCGACCTGGGCGCCTCGCTGGGCACCATGCCGCGCTACACGAGCTTCACGAATAGTAAGTAGGCGGCTGCACACCCGACCCACACGGTAAAAACAATGTCTGATGTTTTTGAGGTAAAGGGAAAAGCCTTAAGGAACCCCCAAATTTGGAGAGTTTTTCTAAAATTTGGAACTTCCTCAAAGCTTTCTATTTTTCCTGAAAAAAAAATTGTTGTTGGGAAACGTTGTCTTGATTCCGTCTGCATTTCTCTCTAGACGCGGACAAGAAACGCAATCAGAAGATCGCCGTGCTGTGCGTGTCCGTCATCGGCACGCTGCTACTCGTGGTCCTGGGGGTGTGCGTGATCTACAACATGACGTGTGAGTGCCACTACCTCTAGCCGACGCTGTTGCTGCGCAGAGGGTGAAGGCTGAACGAAACCGCATTGTGCGTTTTTCCTGTGCAGACATCAACCTGCTGAGCGAGGCGGTGGGCCGCTTCCACCCGGACAGCCACAGCGCGGCCCCGTCGGCGCACGCCGCCGCGCAGCAAGGCCCGACGGCGGTGTCATCGGCGGCGTCCTCTGCGCCTGCTTTCGCCGAACCCTCCTCGGTCGACTTCTCAATGCCGTTCTCCTCCGGGCAGGACAAGAAGCTGGCCCACATGGACATGTCGCCATTCCAGCTGTTTGTCAGGCCCGGGGAGAACCGCGGCGAGGACGGCAACAACCCTCTGAACTGGGTGGTCCACGGGGGCATACCTGGCGCCCGCGGCAACATCAACCTGGGGCCCATCGGCGACATGATCCCGCCTCCGCCCAACCTGGAGAAGCGCGACGTCCGCGGCCCGAGGCACGTTACCACGTACGTGATCCCCCTGGACAAGAGGGACGTCGACCGATCGGCTCACAAGCACGCGATCGACAAGCGGGACACCAGTGCGAACGACAACATGGGACTGGACGACTTCCGACGACGCCTCCTGAAGGAGGCAGACGACCTGCGGGTACTCATGGAGGACATCGAGCAGGAGCTGCGCACCATGGAGCTCAAAAAGGCTAACACCATCGATCCGGAAGACATCACCTCGGATGGATTCCCTCCAGCGCCCGGCGAACAACTGGAGAACCCGCATGTCCGCGAGGAGCGCGTCAGGCGGTCCGATGAGTTGGTGCTGGAGGCGGCGCGGCTGCGCAGGGGGCGGCTGCTGGAGGAGGCGGCGCGGCAGGAGCAGGGTGAGGGGCGGGGCGGACGACGCAAGCGCGACATGGACCTGGCCGGGGCCGTGGAGACGCTTCTCTTCCCGCCCTCTCAACGGGTCCACGACAAGCGCGAGGCCCGTGCGCACGCCGTGGAGCACCTGCTGGAGGAGAGGGTGCGCCTTCTCGAGGAGGCCAAGGAGATTGGACTTATGATCGAGGCGCTTCGGGCCAGACAGACGAGGAGCCTGACGCTGCCCGTCGTGTTGCCGAGGGCGCGCCGGCAGGCCCAGGACCCCGCCAAGGACCTGCAGACGCTTCTGCGGCTGCGCAAGTGGAAGCACAACCTGCCGGCCACCAACGCGTTCCTAGAGGCCGCTCGCCACAAGAAGCACGTCGACCCGATGCTGCTAGGCAGGCTCGTGGAGCTGCGCGCCAGCCTGCTCAAGGAAGCCGACGACATCATGGTCATCGTCAAGGAGCTCCAGGGCCACCCGACGGGCCGCGGCAGCGCGAGCAGTTCCCTTCTGGATATTTGGCCGTCCCCACCCCCGCAAGTGGAGCGCAGCAGCACCGAGGGGTCGAGCAACCCGTCGAATCAGACCAGGGCGGTGAACCTCGACGCCATCAACCAGGCCTCCAACCAAACTGCGGCGTTGCACCCGGAGCACAGCGGGCGCAACGTGACCGGCGACCAGCGCTCCCGATATGCAGGTAAGAGCGTGGGCGCCGTGGGCGCGCGCGACCCCAGAGTGATAGCCGGCTCCGCCCCATCCTCGTCCGACTCGTCCGCTCCCTCCGCCCCTCCAACCGCCCCCGGCCCCGGGCTGACCGCGCCGGGCGAGAGCGTGCACACCACCCAGCAGCTCATGTTTAGCGTGCCGCAGCTGCGCTCCCAGCTGCCCGTGTGCTTCTACCTGCCGGGCTACTCGCCCCCCAACGTGCTCCAGGGGCCGCCCACCCCGCCCCTGCCCCCAGCCCCTCCTGGTGTCCCGCTCATCCAACGCCCCTCGCTTCAGCAACCTCCCGTCCAGCCTTACCAGCCCATCCGCCAGATGCAACCCTTCCTCCCATTCCCGCAGCAGCAGCAGCCACAGCCACAGCTGCAAGCCGGCCCAGGTTCCCAGCTGCTGCCAGTGGCCTACCCTTTCTTCTTGGGTGTGCCCAACCCCCTGGCAGCCCGCAGCAGCGAGGATTCCGTCCCGGTGACGGGGCCAGGGGGCCAGCCTGGCAGCCAGGGCGTCGGTGAACCGCTGAAGAGAAGTGACACGCAACCGGAGGCACTGAAACAGAACTCGTCGGCGTCATCCCGCATGACCACAGCCCAAGGCCTGGGGCCCAGCGCGCCGATGGCGCAGATGGGATTGCCGCAGATGGTCCCCATGGGCGGCAACTACGCCCCACCTGGTTACTACCCTCCAGGCGCTGGGTACCCGCAGGTGGGGGCTGCCTACCCCCAGATGGGTGCTGCCTACACTCAGCAGATGGCATCTGGCTACCCCCCGGCGGCTGCCGCCTACACTCAGCAAATTGCATCTGGCTACCCTCCGATGGCACCCCTTTACCCCCAAATAACCCCTGCTTACCCGCCACCTGCGGGCGGCTACCCGCAGGCCGGCAACGGCTACCCCATGTACCCACTGTACCCTGCTGCGACCGGGCCGGGCGGCGCCGGGCAAGCCCTTCACAACTTCAACTTCGCCCCGCTCGTACCATCCAAGGCCGTTCCGGTGAACATTCAGCAGCAGCAGGTCTTCCAGCCCTTCTCGAAGGTCCCCATCTTCTGCACTTACCTCCCCCCTCCGACCTACCAGTTCCCTATCGTCCCCGGGGTGGGCGAGGGGGACACGAGGGCCAGGATGTCGGCGGCGCAACGCGGCAACCACACCTGGCGCCAGGCCCTGCAAGGTGTCTATCACTCTGGGCCACGAACATTTCATATCCTAATGCCATTTTGCATACAAGTTCTTTGTAAACGGGTCTCCTGATCGCCTGTTTCACCATGCTGTTTCTGTTGTTCGCCACAGAGGATGAGCCGGGGTGCCCGCCGGGCCACCGCGCCTGCCACGACAGCTCGGGCTGCGTGATGGCCTCCATGTGGTGCGACGGCGCGGTCCACTGCCCCGACGCCAGCGACGAGGCGCACTGCTCCTGCCGGGACCGCGTGGAGAGAGAGCGCTTGTGTGACGGTTACTTCGACTGCCCGCTCGGCGAGGACGAGATGGGCTGTATGGGTGAGTGCCTTATTTCTCTGACCCTGCTGACCGTCTTCTGACAGTCTACTGACCTCGCGCTGACCGTGTTTCAGGCTGCCTGCCCACCGAGTTCAGCTGCGACGACTTCACCGACGGCAAGCTCCGCGCCACGTGCGTGTCCAAGTCCAGCCGGTGCGACGGCAACGTGGACTGTCCAAGCGGCAAGGACGAGGCTGAGTGCTCGCTGCTCACGCTCAGCGTCACCGGCAGGAAGGTGGGTACGAGAGAGCGGGAGCTCACATCGGCCGGCAAACAGGCGGGTTCTAAAAGTTTTCCTGGTTTTCATATTGGCCGCAGACGCTCCCCGTGTCGTACCAGACGGGCTTCTTGCACCGCAACCTTCGCGGCGAGTGGTATCCCGTGTGCGGCCAGAGCGGCGACCGCGAGTGGGCCCTTCAGGCCTGCCGTGACGTCGTCTCCGCTGACGTCAGGTAAGCGAGTTCGCTGCCACTTCCACAATAGGTCCTCCGCTCCAGCGCACCTCTGACTGTCTCCCTCTGCCCGCCACGCTCGCAGCGACTCGGACATGCTGATCGACGTGGTGCCCGCGCCCAGCTCGTACCGCGGCGCCTGGCTTGAGGCCTCCGGGCCCGGCGCGCTCAGCGTGGTGTCCGAGTGCCGCTCGGCCGCGCTGGTCCGCTGCCCGCCCATGCTGCCCGGGTCGCGGGTGCCGCCGCCGCAGAGCCCCTTCCAGCGCGGCGCCGCCCACCCCGAGGACTTCCAGTGGAGCCGCGAGAGCGACGAGGAGCTGGCCAACGACCCCGAGGACCTGCGCACCAGGCTCAAGCGGTATCTGCACCTCGCGCCCGGCCTTGACCCTCTGCTCATCGACTACAACCAGGTTTGCCTCTAGAAGGGACAGCCAACGGCCCACTTATCTCGAAAACGCTATTGTCTGATCGGGTGTCTCTTCCCTCAGCTTGAGAACTCGGCCGCAGAGCTGCTCGACCAGGACGACAGAATGCGTGCCGCGGAAGACCCCAGCAAGGCCGACGACGCGATGGACACCTTGTCAACAAGCAGGAATGGCAAGGCGCATCGCATGAGGGAGACCCTGCAGGACGATGACGGCATTGTTCAGGTGTGTGTGTGTGTACCCCGCATAGACCGCTCGGTCAGCCGTCGGCCCGCTGTGCACCCCAAGTAGTCACGCCGCCCGCCCTCGTGTGCAGAACAACACGGGCGAGGACAGCGTGGCGTTCGAGTTGGACCCTGAGGAGCTGAGGCGACTGGTAACCGACCTGGGAGATTCGTCGGCCGAGTCCCCCGCCAAGGACCCGGCCGACGACAGGGTGTTGCTGCGGCGCCTCCCCTCTACCAGGGACGCCTACCAGGTTGTCGGCAACAAGCCTCGAGTCTCTGACAATCGCGGACAAGAGGTGAGGCTGGCGCACCCAATGATAAAGATAGTCGTAAGTACGACTGAGGAGTATCAAAGCAATATCGTGGTCTGATGTGACACGCACCGGATCATGCGTCGCCAAGGCCACTACCCCGTCCCCCGGCGCGTTTAACGTACCACCTACCACCCTATATGTGAAAGCGCCGCGGTTCTCCCCCATTTTGATCGCGTTTTAATACAATTGTCGCCAGGTCCGCCTCCGCAGCGCCCGCCACACTCCCGCCGGACCGACCGCCCCCGATGTCACCCTCCAAGCCGCCGTCCCCGTGGAGCGCAGCCGCAGAGGGAACCTGTCGCCCCGCGTCGTCGGCGGCAAGCCCGCCAAGCCCGGCGCCTGGCCGTGGGTCGTGGCCATCTACAGGGACGGCGTCTTCCACTGCGGCGGCGTCATCCTGGACGAGTCTTGGGTGCTCACGGCCGCGCACTGCGTCGATGGGTAAGCGTTTCGTTGTGACTTGTCTCCACTACACAAACAGAAGTGCACGGTACTCCGACACGCGAAAGTGCGTAACGTCCGTATGTCACCCAAATTAGCGTTTAGAAACCACGCAGTTATTTCTATTTGTCACACACAAGTATGCGTATGTAACACACGTATATTTGTTTGTGGATTATGAGGTGGTGACTGACTCTTGCAGAGCTGACCTTCCCCTGTTCTGCTACCGTGTACAGGTTCGACCGTCACTACCTGGAGGTGCAAGCCGGTATGCTGCGGCGATTCTCTTTCTCGCCCATGGAGCAGACCCGCACCGTCAACTATGTCGTCAAACACGACCAGTAAGTACCACAACAAGTTCGTGCGTGTTTAGCGCTTGGTTTGGTTAGACTGTCTGTGCTAATCCTGGATGTGGCTCGTATCGCGCAGATACGATCCCGAGGACATGCGGAACGACATCGCAGTGATGCACGTGGGCGAGCCGCTGCACTTGAACCGCTGGGTGCGGCCCATCGCCCTGGCCGACTGGGGCGGTCAGCACGGCCCGCTGGACCCACCGCCGGGCACCCAGTGCCACGCCGTGGGCTGGGGCGCCACCGTGGAGCACGGCCCAGACCGTGAGTACCTCACGTCCGGCTGGGACAAAAATCAAATCTTTTGAGGTTTTTGGGTACCTTTTTTCGTAGTATCTAAGAAGATTACAAATGTAAATGTTTTTATGGCCATGGTGCACAATAAGCTTTTGACGAAAGCCTGAAATACGATTTAAGAGAAACACTCACGAAATCCATCAAAATGCAGTGTGTTCGCCGAACCTTTGAAGTAACCTTATCGTTGCACTTTTCTGCCTACAGCTGACCACATGCGGGAGGTCCGAGTTCCCGTGCTGGCGGCGTGCGTCCACCCGGAGGACAGGCGCTCGGGAGGGCTGTGCGCCGGCGTGTGGGAGGGCGGCAAGGACGCGTGCCAAGGCGACAGCGGCGGCCCTCTGCTGTGCAGGTTAGTAGCGGCCCGGTGGCGGCCCGGCGGCAGGCAGCGCCGGCGAGGTAGGCCGCCCACCCGCCGCCAGTGGAGGTCTGCGCCCGGGAGGTAGACCACCCATCCGACACAGCGGCCCAGCTAGCCTCATCACGATGATAGTCGCAAAAAAAGTACAGGCGGCAAAAAAAAGAAAGAGGCAACGAGATCGCAGTTTGGCTCCGTGCCGCTTGCGTCCGCGGCGTTCGTTTTGTGTTTTTGTGTCGAAGGGGGACGAGGAGGGGAGAGGTGGTAGGGGTCGGCGGAGGGGATCGTGGAGTCATTAGGGCCCCTCCGGAGCAGCACCCCGCTGTTCTCCAGTCGGGTCTCCTGACGCGGCTGCCGCGCCGCCGCGCCGGCCGGACCTGCAGCCTGCAGCCCCAGCGCGCTCGCGGTTGTGTGGGAGTGGCGCTGCGGGGCGCGCGGCGCGCAGAGTGGCATTAAGGCCATCATTTTGTTGTTCTGGCGTTCAGGATGACGCGGCTCAAAGTCGCCATGGCTGCCCTGCCGTCCCTGCTGGTCGTGTCCGTGACGTAACCCTTGTGCGGGCCGCAGGGCCGGCCGGGCCATTCCATTGCGTTCAGGGTGCGGCCGGACCGGCGCTGGCCGCTCACCGCAATGCTGGAGGTGTGGCCCGGTAGCGGCCCGCGAGCCCTCCTCTCTCCACACGTCAGCTGACACAATGTTGTTCCGCAGGGTGCCGGAGGACCCGACGCGCTTCTACGCCGCCGGAGTCGTGAGCCACGGCGAGGGGTGCGCTCGCCCGGGGGAGCCCGGCGCCTACACCAGGGTGTCCAGGTTCATCCACTGGATCCGCGAGCAGACAGGTAGGTCCACGTGCTGAAGGCCGGTGGGGGGTGCGTCTGCGCGCCAGTTCATGACACGTTTAACGTTGCAGAGAGTCGCCACGTGGTCACGGTCACGCCGTTACTCAAGTGCCCCGGACACCAGTGTCTGTCGGGGCCGAGGCGCTGCGTGGCGCCCCGGAAGCGCTGCGACCGAGCCGTGGACTGCCTCAAGGCGGAGGACGAGCTGGGCTGCGACTGGGGGCTCGACACCTTCATGCGCGCCTCCCGGGGCGGGCCGCCGGGGCTCGTGCCGTACAACACTTCGTCAGTGGCGCGCGCTCACGGCGGCGCCAGGGAGGCGGAAGGGGACGCCGAGAACAGCGACGTCGTGTTCCCACCGAGTGGGCAGGCCGACGACACGGGTTCGGCGGCCCCCGACCAGCAGCAAGGCGAGCAGCAACCGCAGCAATCAGATCAGCAAGAGCCACAACCTGAACAGCCCGTACAGCCGGAGCCGCAACCCGAGGCAGCACCAGAGCCCGCCCCGGAGCCCACCCCGGAGCCCGCCCCTGAGCCCGCCCCGGAGCCTGCCCCAGAGCCGGCTGCTGGGTCGGATCCATCGGAGGAGGCAGCCCCCTCGAGCCCGCAGCCTCCCCAGCAGATCTTCATATTCCCGGCCGTGCAGCCCGGCGCGGTGGGAGCTGCGGACAATTCGACAGGCGAGGTGCCCGCTGAAAACTCTGTGATCGATCCGGCTGTCAACATCACTGGACCAGTCCAGGGCTTGGAGACGAACGCCCTCAACTTGACGGACGCCAGCAACGGCACGGTCCCGGGGACAGGCTTGACGCCAACCTACCTGTCGGGTGCTGCGGGAGGCCTGGCGAACACGACGGCCAACGCGACGGACGCAGAGGGCGTCCCGGCCTACCAAACGGGCTTCGACGCCAACCAGACCGCGCTAGTGGACTCGACGGGTGCTGGCGTTATTGTCAGCCCCGAGGCTGCGGGTGGTGCGCCCAACAACGCGACAGAAGAAAGTCAGGCTCCCGCTGTGGACGGCGCCGTCGCCGAGGCGCTCACGGAAGCGCCGGTGGAAGCGGCGTCGCCCGGCGGGGAAGCTCCCGTCGAGGGCGTTGCCGAGGCTCAGGTGCCGGCGGTGGTCGCCGACAACGGGACGATCGCTATCGGGGCCGGAGCCTCCGCGGCGGGAGCTGCGGCTAACTGGACAGTCCCTGGGGGCGGCGCAGGAGCAGGCGGTGGCGCTTGGAACGTGACGGCCGCGGGGGTGGATCTGTCTGCGGCCAACGTGACGACCGTCCTGCAGCTGGACGGCGCTCTCAACGCCACCACTCCGTCCACCGCGGACGCCGGAGGGGCTGGAGTCGAGGCGGTCGTTGGGGCAGCTGAGGCGGCAGCTGGTGCTGCTGTTGGTGCTGGGGCAGCTGCGCTGGCAGGGGCTGCTGAGGTCGCTGCAAACAACACCACCGAGGCTGGAGAAGTGGCAGCAGCTGTCGCTGCAAACGCCTCCGCAGCGGCCGAGGGCATATTCCCAACGGCGGGCAAAATGTTCACGTGCAAGAGGTGAGTCCCTCCCCCTGATCTCGGCTGGTCTCCTGCCGGCACTTCGGCACGCGCTAACAACAACCCTTGTCCCTCCTGTCAGCACGCCGCAGACGGTCGCGCTGTCCCGGCGCTGCGACCGTGCCGTGGACTGCGTGGACGGGTCGGACGAGGCGGACTGTCGCTGCGTGGACTACCTGCGGGCCGCGCGGCCCGACGCCGTGTGCGACGGCTCCCCGGACTGCCTGGACGGCTCGGACGAGGCGGACTGCGCGCTGTGCGCCGCGGACCAGTACACCTGCTGGCAGAGCCCCGGCACGCCGTGCCTGCCGCGCGGGCTGGAGTGCGACGGCGCCCAGGACTGCGCCAACGGCGAGGACGAGGAGCACTGCCTGGCGCTGACGGACGGCGCTCGCCTGCAGCTGGACGCCGCGGGGCTGCCCGTGCTGCAGCGGGAGGGCGTGGTGGCGCGCAAGGTGCACGGCGTGTGGCGCCCCGTGTGCTCCGGCCTGCACGGCTCCTCCCGGAGCGTCTCCAGCTGGGCCACTGACGCCTGCGTTGCCCTGGGCTTCGGGTAGGAGATCTAACAAGGGAAGGTTTTCCGGTGATACACTCAGATTTCAAAGGCGCTTTAAAGAGTAGTTGTTTGTACCCCTAGATTAGGTTTGGCACTGGTTTTAGCTGCCCGTAGAAAGTTTAAAGGTCGTTTTACCTGAATTTAATTGAAAATTTATAGCCTGATTATCAACTTTAGATGCACGTATCTCAAGAACCGTTTGAGCTACAGCGCCCAGATTTTGAGGGAAATCATAATTTAGCACGTTCTTTACTTGTAGAAAGTTTGAACAAAATCGATTCGGGTCGCAAAAACGGGTCCCGAGAGGAGGTTGCGAACCTGGACCCCTTTTTGGTGACGGATGAATTTGGGAAATTTTTGATGAAATTCGCGTGAAATGACCTCCAAACTCCCTACGGGCAGCTAAAACCAGTGCCAAACCTTATC